GATGGATGGAGGGTAGACAGATGGTGGTAAATGTGTAGACAAATGGGAAGGTTAGAAACAAAACACATGATAGAGCTTGTTCATCCCTTAGAAGAGAACTACGGAAGAGAAAGCTCTGGCCCTGCCTCCTGCTTGGGCCTCATCTGTACTGAGATTGAGTTTGACCTAGAAAAAAAGATCCCGTAGAAAAAAAGAATGGGTTGTCAGCACTAGAGAGATGGCTCAGTGGTTAAGAGCACTGACTGCTCTTCCAGAGGTCCTAAGTTCAATTCCCAGCAACTACATGGTAGCTCACAACCATCTGTAATGGGATCTAATGCCCTCTTCAGGTGTGTCTGTGGAGAGCGACAGTGTACTCACGTACATTGAAATAAATAAATAAATCTCTAAAAGGAGTGGGTTGTCTGTCCCTGTGTAAGGTGCCAGGGCCTCAGCTGCTGCTCTCTTGCGCTTGGGCTATGTTATGTTTGGGAACACGGAAAAGAGGCCTGTCTCCATTCTTGGATTCCTCGTATTGCAAGCCAGCATCAGGCTGTCTACCTAGTATGAACAGAGAGCTGTCCTCTGAGAACTGCTGGGAGAGTGGGGGTCCGCAAAGGGGACATTAGAGGCACACTGGGCCCAGAGCTGTGTCTGAGAAGTAACACAGGCATGCTTGTTAATCTTGGCTCTGTCCCTCCCTTGCTATCACTGAACAAGTCACTTTCTGTCAGCCCCTGTCACCTCATTATCAAACAGGAGCCAGGGACAGCTCCTATCCCATGGGTGCATTGGGACAGTTCACGGGACTAATGCATGCAAGTCACTTACCAGCATGTAGAATACATTAAGTGCTCAGTAAGTGTGTGCTCCCCCATACTCCTAAAAGGCCAAATGGGGAACAAGGGCCTTAACATTTGAAGAAAACTCAGAAACTTTCCTAAATGCTGAGCCTCCGTGTTCATTTGCCATTTCAAAATGTCCACCAAACTCTCACAGCCATGTGACCAGCTTTGATGGACATTGCCTGAGTTCCACCAAGATTCCAGCCATCCCATAGACCTTGACTACCCTGTTTTGGTTGCCCTTAGCTTAATAACAAACAAGGCACATGAATTATCCCTTTAAAGGTATAATTTATATGGGAGATAGAAATCTTTCCATATGGACTGAGGTGAAAGGGGGAGAGGACAGGCAAGGGTATCCTCTGAGGAAGTATAGACCAGGGGAGCCAGTCCCACAGGCCTCAGGTGGCCTTTGTGGACACCCAGATGTGGGTGGCCAGTGGCAGGCCTTGCTGGCTCAGGGTGAGCTGATGGCAGGAGGCCCAGGCCACCCACAAGAAGAAGGTCTTGAGGCTGAGTGTCCTCAGGCCACAAGAGGGTTGGCTCAAGCTACAGCCTCCCAGGCAAGTGACAATGAAAACGTCTTCAGATGTCCCTAGTCCCCAACCTCCCGGTCAAGGATAGCTCTAAGACCAAACCCTTGACATGTGACCAGCAGGCTTCTAACATTGGCCTCTGACCAGTCCTGTTCCCAGCTGCTCATTCTAAGTGCCCTGCACAGCCTGTACCTGCAAGCCAGACACTATGCCCCTTCTATCCACAGTGCAAACAAACTTCCTGAAGCCTTGTGGGGCTGGATAGCTATAAGAAATGGATGGTTTTTCAGAGATGAGAGGCCTCGCTGGGAGCCAGGCCCACACAGCCACAATCTGTGGGACCTCCATTTGTGGGCTCTGAACTACGGGAGGTTGGATTCTGAATGTCATGGGGAGTCCTAGCTGGGAGCACCAATAGGAAGGCAGACTGGCAGAAGCCAGGAAGAGGCTGGGGAAAGCTTTCTCCTCCAGAATCTTACTTGAAACATCAGCCCCCTGCTCCAGGCCATCCCTGTTCTGTGGGACAATGTCCCTGGAACACTTAGCCCTTGCTCCTAGGAATCCTCCATCCAGTGCAGTATCCCTGGTGTCTGGTCCTTGGTACCTGCTCTCTATGTGGGGATAATAGAGCTTTAAGGGTGTTGGGGAGATAGCCTAGGCACCTCTTGGTGTCTGGCCTTTGTCAGTGGGGTCCTTCTGATAGCTTTCCCAAAGGCAACCAGACCCTGAGATAGACTCGTGGGTGTATGAGAAGAGTAAGCCCCGATCAGAATCTTAGAGAATGTGCTTATCATGACTTGGGCGGGTCGTTCTTCCTCTGGCCCAGTTATCTCATCTATGGATTGGGGCTGATAACTGGCGGGGATTTCTTCTGGGCAATTCCTAGCTTCTCACCATTTAACCTTTCTCTGTCTCCAGCCTTCACACCCCCAAAGTCTCTCTCTTCCACACAGGAAAGCACCAAGCTGGTAGGGGGCAAAAAAAAAAAAAATCATTTGTTCCTTCAAATTCTTCCTCCATGGCATCAGGTGTGCCTCACTCGCCACCCTCCCTGCAACTCTGACCAGACAGTGTGCAGGGCACAGTCTAGCAAGAAGATTTGGCAAAATGGGTGGCTGGGGCAGTTGCTGAGGGCCAGAACAGTAAAGTCAGCAAGCCAAGCAAGGACATGAAGCCAGGTCACTTGGGAGAAACAGGAATAGCATACCCAGGACAATGACAGTGGACGGGGCAGCCGCCAGATCTACCAGGATGGGCAAAGATGATTGTCAGGGCCTAGGCCAAGAGATTCAAGGGCCTAGGAGGCTATTTTTAACTCAGCTTAATTTCTCTACCTGGAAAACAGCTCTTGTCAGTGGGGTTTTCCTTGTTCCCGGAAAGGCTCCATCCCCTAATACAGGCTGGACTCGCTCAGATTCCTAGGCGGGCCTCTCCATTACATATAGCCTAGCTTATCCAGCTGCAGCCTGAGCCAGCGAAGGAGGGAAACCAGAGCCAGCAAGACGGCTTCCTGTGCTGACCCTGTGAGGCCACAGTGGCCCCTGCCCTGCTGTCACCCTCTCTCACACCCAGAAGGATCCTGTCCCCCTCCATTTAATTCTTCTATTATGCTTCCAGACCCAGGGCCTCTGGTTCCCTATTGTCCTGGGCAGGCATTTTGCATTTGTATGAAGATTAGACAGGTTAGAACCCTGCCTCTGCTCCCCTGGTCTTTCTCTTTTACTTTCTCAAATCCCAGCTCTGTCTTGCTCCCTGCTTCCTGGTCCTCCCAAGCGCCCCTCCTGGTACCTGTCTTTATCTATTTGCTTCCCTCCCCTCCTTGACCCGACTCCTTCACTAACCTGCACTCTCTCCTGTCTTCTGAGTCCCCACTCTCTACACCCCCACGCAAGTCACAATCCACACTCTCTCAGAGCCTAATAGAACTGCTCACCTCAATACAGAACTATTCTAAATTCATACAGAGCTGTAACATAGGGAGGCCAGTGGACCCCACGAGGGAGTCCATTGTGGTTTGCTGGTGAGGTCAAGATTGGGGTTCCAACAGGGGCTCTGGCATATGCCAGTTTTGTGGCTGATGCAAATCCCTACACACACACACACACACACACACACACACACACACACACATCACCCTGGAAAGAAAAACAATGACCTATACCTTTCCAATCCCTGTTTCCTCTTTATCCATTTTTAATCCAGAAACTAAAAAGTCTACACAGACATAAAAAGACGCTAAAAGGTCTGGGTTCTACAGTCCAAACCAAGGGCAGTCCTAATCACTCTCTCTCCCTCAGAGTGCATTCATGGGACTCCATCAATGCCTCTATGTACAGGGAAGGCCACAGGCCTCTGCAGGGCTTTAGACCTCAAGAATATAAGGTAAGTCTATTACCGTGAGACAAGCAGGCCAGGCACAGAGGGCCACCAGTATACTGAGGTGCATTCATCTGTCCTGTCCTTTCCCCACAGTGTCTTTGCTTTTGCCTCCAACAAGACTTGTGGGACAGCCGAGGCACCGGAAGTAGAATGCCAGGCCCTGAGAGGCCTTTGCCTTGCCTTCCTCTTTCTCGTCCTCCACCTTTATTTATTCATTATTGTGTGTGCATATTTGTATATGTGAGAGAGACAGACGGGGGGCAGTCTGCGTGACTGTGGGGCATTTGTGTTGTGTCAGAGGACAATTTTAGGTGATAGTTCTCTCCTGCCTTGTTAAGGCAAGGTTTCTCTTGTCACCTCTGGGTTACTCCAGGCAAGCTGGCCTTAATTATATAGACAATTCTCCTGTCTCCACCTCTCACCTCACTGTAGGAATCCTGGGAATATAGATACACACACACACCACTGGGTTCCAGGGATCAAACTCAGATCATCAGACTTACGTGGCAAGCACTTCACCCTCTGAGCCACTTTGCCAGCCTCCTCTCTCTCTCTCTCTCTCTCTCTCTCTCTCTCTCTCTCTCTCTCTCTCTCTCTCTCCATAAAGTAGCCACTGAGGTGACACAAAATATTCTGTTCTGTCCACACTGCTGGGGAACCATGCAGGACACCTTCTGTGTGCCCGTGGAGTGTCTTCCTAGAAAGTGCTCTGAAGTGTCTTCTCTATCTCAAAGGGGTATTTGAGCCAAACAGGGTAAGGAGCCCCTTGTTTTGGTTTTGTTTGACAAGCAAGGAAACTGAGGCCCAAGACACTATCCCGGCTGTGGTCGCATAAGCAAGTAGTTTCCAGAAAGGACCAGAATTCCTACTGCAGGTTGGGGACAGGGGAGGGGAGCAGTATGTCCTGGGTAAAATAGGGATGAGGCAGCCTCAGGAGGTCAAAGGTCAGGCATGAGTTGTGCCATTCCAGAGGCCAGTGGTCCCAAAGGGGGCTCTGACTCGCCCAAGGCCATGAAGCCTTGAGTGGGCCTTTCACCTCCCACGCAGCAGCGAAGGGCTATCTCAGCTTGCTTCACAGCGGGCAGGGAGGAGGGTGGCAGACTCCCGGTAAAGAGGGAAGGTTTACTTTTAGATGAGACCTCCACTCCAGACTTCCAGTTCAGGCGTGCTAGTCAGAGGTAGGGAGGAGCCAGCAGGGAAGAACTTGGGACTAACTTCAGAACTCAGAGGGGCCTTAGGCCTGCAGGGTGCCCGGAGACTCCTGAAGGTGTTCCAGCGCAGCGCAGAGGGTGGAGCCCAGCCTTCCACCTCCCTCCCCCCTCACCGGGAGGCCAGGGCGGGCCAGGCACCCAGGGAGGAGGCGGTGTCCCTGGCTCCCTGCCCAAGGTGCAACAGCTAGGCGAGGCGGGGCTGCACCATAGGGGCGGGCGGGCGGGCGCCCTGCCTGGTATTATAAGAGGCGGTCAGGGCACCTCAGCAATGAGCTCCCAGCTCGGCTTAGCAGCAGGACACTGGCGACCTGCGCTCCCTGCTCCCTTGGGCCAGCCAAGCACTCTGCCGCTGCTATGGTCTCTGCCTGGTGTTCCATCGCTCTGGCCCTGCTTTTGGCCCTACATGAAGGTGAGCTGCCCTCCCTAGCACGTTGCGATCCCAGGGTCTATTCATTGGTGTCTCCTCCAGGGGCATGGTGCTTCCTTCCCAAAACCAACTGGGGGCATAGAGCAGGGAGCCCCGCAGTAGGAGCTGCCACTGCAGCGTGCAGGCACGGCGCTGGTAGCTGGGGCTTCCCCAGGCTAGCCAGTGGTTCCAGAGCACCAAGGGTGCCAACTTCCTTATTGTGCAAGAGGAGGAGCCCTGCGGGTCCCCTAACCCAGGCAGGCCAGGTGTCCTGATCTCTCCACCTCTCTCTCCCTCCTGTGTGCAGGGAAGGGCCAGGCAGCAACCACCATGGAGCAGCCAGCCTCAGCACCCAAGGGCCGAGGCCACCACCTGCGTTTTCGTCGTTGCTCCTGCAACTCCTGGCTTGACAAGGAATGTGTGTACTTCTGCCACCTGGACATCATCTGGGTGAACACCGCAGGGTGAGCACATCCACCAGGACCGTGGGAGAGGGTCGAGGTGAAGGCTTTTGGCTAGCTAGCAACCTCTGCAACTGCCTGGCTCACCATGAGTCTTAGATAGGATACGGGGAGAGTACCCGTAGTGACTAGTTATGTATCAACTTCCACGTGGGTGGGAGCTACTGGAGTCAGGCAGAGGGCTCTGTACCCTTCCCATCCTCACAACAGTCTGTAGTAAAGTGCTAGCTCCGTTTTCCAGATCCGAGTATGGAGGCTCAGAGATGCGAGGTGGCTTCTTCAGGATCACACAGGAGAGAAAAAGTTGTAGGTTCCTTTCCAAGTCTAGGGATGCTGGAGCTCAACCACATTTCCCCTGCAGAGAATAAGCCTATGCATGACAGCATCGGTGTCCAGACCACGCTCTGTGCAGAGCACGCCAAGTGGAGTTCCATCCACTGAGCTGCCAGCCTCCCCACAAGGCAGGCACTGCTTGCAGCCCCTAACAGGACAGACAAGAAGCCTGCCTGGGATACCCAGGCAGGAGTCAGAGCTGGGTTCTGCCTGCCCCGCACTGCCTCCAGGCCCCTGCATACCTCAGGTTGAAGTTTCTGTGTATGTTTGTACTTTTTTTTCCCCTTCTCCAAATTGCATAAGGCAAGAGACGCTGAACACATAAGCGTGCATAGTGCTAATCCACATCCAAACGCTGGCTCAGGGCGGGAACCCTGCCAGTCCCTGCGTGTCGGGTCCACCCAGAACCACTGTAGCTCCAACTGCCAGGCCACTTAAAATTAGCTGTTGACCAAAGGTGTTAGGTGGACTAGTCGCAGGGCCCCTACTTTACCTACCTTGGCCAAACTGGACCATAAATCAATCCCATTACACATGCACGCACACACACACACACACACACACACAACTCAAAGGTATATTTGTCACACTTCTTCCAACATGTGGGGGACCAACTGTGAGCCAAATGCTTCACTCTGGCAGCTGAACAGGCCTCCCTTCCTCCTGGCCTAGGTAGGGGGTCCACTGAGCTCAGAAGACCAGCCCAGGTTTCACTGGGACTGCAGATCCACTCCTTACATTCCCCTGCAGGAGCTCCTAGCAGAGCAGTGTGCAGAGCCATTGATAGAGGAGTGTGTGACCTAATGGCTTAATATGAGAAGGAGTGGGGTGGCCATCTTCCTGGGGGTGTGACTGGCTGTACAGTGTGGACAGTCTCTGCTGGCTAGTGATGTATTTACTAATCCCGTGTCTCTCCTCTCTTTTTCTCCTCTCTGCTCTCCCCCCCCACCACTCTCCGCATGTACACACTACCTTGCTGGCTTCCCGCCCACAGACAGACAGCTCCCTACGGCCTGGGAAACCCGCCAAGGCGCCGGCGCCGCTCCCTGCCAAAGCGTTGTGAGTGCTCTGCTGCGGGAGACTCTGCCTGTGCCACCTTCTGCCATCTAAGACCCTGGTAGGTGGACTCCTAGCCTGCAGTGGTTGGGTGATGGCTGGCTGGGACCAGGCCTGGAAACAGGGTACCTGGGAGACTAGTAGAAGAGCAGAGTCCCAGAGAAGACAAGCAACATCTGAGAGCCCATAAGTACACTGGGTCCGTGGCAGCGTCCCTTCCCACAGGAGTACCCTCAGTCGCTCCCTCTGCTCAGCTCTAAGGCTTCTGGGAGCACACATCTCCACTCCTGGGGAGGAGAGGCACAGCCCAGGTGATAGCCCAGCCTCAGAAAGTGGCAGGCCTTGTGTCAGGCCCACAAGGAACCAGGTCTCCCTGGGCTTCAGGTTCTAACCTAAGGCTCTGGTACTTCATAGTTTGATAAGAAGAAAAATAACATCTAGAGGTGGCAATCTGTAACAGGTACCAGAGTTGTCAGAGTTATGCAATCATGGCCAGGGATAGCCTCTTGGGCCTCAGTTTCCCTTATTGCCAAACAAGACCAGAACAGGAGGCTCGAGAAGGTACTTCAGAGCCCTTTCTAGGGAGATACTCCGCAGGCACACAGAAGGGGTCCTGTGTGGTTTCCCAGTGTAGACAGAGCAGAATATTTTGTCTCACCCAGGAAACTAGGGTATGGATGCCAAGTCTCCTTGGTTTTCCCATCTGTGAAAGGGGAGGCTTTGTTCCTCCCTTCCTCCTCTTGGACCCTTGAGAAAGCAAAGACTGAGTGCTCCAGTTCCAAAGACAGTTTACGAGAAACTCCTCCTCTGAAGCTCAAGCTGGAGTTCCACCCCTGCCTCAGTTTCCCCTGCAACTGCAGGTGGCCAGATTCTGGGAAGGCCAGCCACCCGTCTGCCTCTCTCTGAAGCTCAGAACACATTCCCAGTAGCTCAGTTTTCCTTGGTACCCACCCCGCCCGGGAAAGGGAAAGGTGCCAGGTGCACAGAGTGGAAATGGATCTGCTCCTGAGGGCAGGGGTGGGGGCGGGGCTGGGCCTGCAGCCAGGTCGCTTCAGGGTTCTGGCCAGCCCCTCACTTGTTGCTTCTTCATTCATTCAGGCCTGAAGCAGTGGTCACCCCAAGCAGCCAGGCTCCTACTGCTGCGTTAAAGACTGCCAAGACGTGGGCTGAGGGAGAACTCCTCCGAAAGCTGAGGTAAGAGGAACTGCATGGTTGACTGCTTCCTGTGTGCTTTACATGTTTGTCTTATTTTCTGTTGAGGCGGCATGGGGACTTCATTGGCTCTCCTAAAAAACAAAGGCTCAGAGAGGTCGTCCCACTTGTTTAGAGTCATACAGCATCCATCACACCTGGCTATATCAAGAGGCTATGATCTTTTTTAAGAATTTAAATAAAAAAGTTTTTAGACTTATTTTTACATGTATGTTTTGCCTACGTGTATGTATGTGCACCACATGGATGTATGTGCACCACGTGTATGCTTAGAAGTTAGAAGAGGCACCTTTAATCCCAGCACTTGGGAGGCAGAGGCAGGCAGATTTCTGAGTTCGAGGCCAGCCTGGTCTACAGAGTGAGTTCCAGGACAGCCAGGGCTACACAGAGAAACCCTGTCTCGGAAAAAAAAAAAAGAAGAAGTTAGAAGAGGGTTTCATCTGTATGCAACTTATGTGCTCTAAGAAGAGGTCATTGGATCCTCTGGAACTGGAATTATGGATTGTTGTGAGCCACCATGAGGTTCTGGGGACAGAACCCTGGTTCTCTGAAAAAAGCAGAAAGTGTTCTTAACTGCTGAGCAGTCTCTCTACCCATAAGCCCCGAGCCTATGTTATTAGTATGTTAGTAGTTATTAGCCTATGTAAGTAGTTAGTAGCCTAACTACTACTGTCTGTGATCGCCAGATGTGAACTGGTATTTTGGGCACTGACTGGGAAGAACTAGTCATTCACTCAAGCATCCTCTCTACACCGGGGCTTAGTGTGAACGGTTCCTATCTTGCTTGCCCCTTAGATCCTCCCAGTGGGATCACCACACTTGGTGGCCACAGGTGGCTCAACACAAGGCCCACACGTGTTTGTCCAAACACGCTGGCTTGAGGGCAGAAACTTCTCCTTGGACCATTCAATGGAGTGACCCAGGGGTAGCTGGTGGGGCAGAGACTACTGGCTGAGAACCCACCTCAGCCACAACAGGCTTTCTGAGCCCTGAGTAGTGGTCGGGCTTCTCTGTGGTCCAGATTTTGACTTTTGAAGCAATGTCCATCCTGCAGGGCTTTCCTGAGGTTGGATGCATTAATGTGTATGAAACGTGTCTCTGTGGAGCTCTGGAGGCCTTGGCCATACCTGCCTCTGCCACAGAGGGGTCCGTAGGGCTAGACAGTACCTAGTGTGGCTCCTTGGAAGTTTCCATCTTTGGGAAAAGGTAGAAAAATGGAGCAGAGGTCTTAGAATAAGCAAGGCAGGCGGCTGCATGTACCTAAGAGCTGGCTGATAATCAGGAAGGCTTTGCAAATACACAGTACTTCACAGTGTGCACATGGGGCAGCACTTCACAGTTTACAGAGAGCTTCCTTTATGACTCAAGCATTCATTCTGCTGGCAATTCAGAGTTTTTGCTATTCCTGTTGTTTGGGTTTGTTGTTGACTTTTGGTTTGTTAGGGTTTGGTTTTGAGACAGAATCTCTTTCAGTATGTAGCCCAGGCTGGCCTTGAGCTCAAGGCTGCCCTATAGTCTCAACTCCTCAAGTGCTGGGCCTAATTGATGTTTTAAAATCAGTGAAAGGATCTCAGAGAGGGTGAACCCTGCCCAGGTTCCTAAACCTGGCCCTGAGGCCCAGCTTCTCACTCCCAGGTAGAATTCTTAGGGTAAGGACGTGGACAGTTGCCCGGTCCCAGAGCTGTGGCCATGAGCTCAGCCAAACTCAAACAGAGGGCCTCTAGGACCATGCTGTGTGGACAAGCCCACCTTGCAGCAGATGGTAAAGTACAGCTAGAGTCAGGTGACAGAGTTTAGGATAAAGGAAGATGGACGCTAGGAAGGAAGGACATTCTCGAGGTGTGGGAGAAGGAAAGCACACGATAGGCAAGGCCCAGGCTGTCCTCAGCAGGCCTCTCCTCCCAGCAGCTTCTGTTGCTGACTGTGAGCTCCATGAGCAGAGAAGTTCCTGGGACTGGTCTGAGCCACCTGGACCTTTATGGGAAGACCTTGTGTGGGGTTACAACCCCACTCTGATGAGCTGTTCCCTGAGATCTAGGCAGAGAGAGGATCTAGACCCAACCATCTCTCTCCTAAAGGAACTCAGGACATCCTCCTGAGATGCTAACTGATCTTCTTCCATTTCCAGGGATATCTCAGCTGCCAAGCTCCGCTTTGCCAGGCCATGGCCGGAGGTGACAAAAGAGGGCATCCCTGCACACTCTAGACGGAGGAAGAGATAACACCAGGAGCTTCAGGACCGTTGAGAAAGAAGCCCACGTGGAGACGAGAGGAAGTGGGCAGCTGGTGGGAGACCCTATGCCTGTCTCCTGGGCCAAGGCCTCAGATCCCGGCTAACCAGACCCGTCTGATGGGTTCAGCATGAGCTCTGGCCTCTTACAGCAACTCTGTGCCTTTACACTGCCAGGGCCACCCTCAGCACCTGGACAGCAGTGCAGCCCGCCAGTGCTGACTACTAGCTACAGTCCTGCTTGGAGGAGGAGCTATGTGAGGACAAATGGACACGCTGACTGTGTCCTGCGGAGTGTCCTGTTTGCTGGACTGCAATCCAGGAGCAATCCCACAGCAGGACACAATTACCTAAGCCACATCTGGTGACTGGACAGTCTTCCTAATGACTGACACTATGGCTGACCCCTATGGTCCTCTCTGGTTCCCCTTCCCTAGAGGTCTTGCGACCTGTTCTCTTGGGATACTCTTGGGGAATGCAGAACCTGCTATACTTCGCTCATCTGTATATAAGTTATTTGCTCTAAGAACTTTGAGATTCCTATTATTTATTTTAATGTATTTTTAAGAGCCTCAATGGTTTACTTATGAACTCATGTTTGTAATAAAGGGTGAAATGGCCTTCTAGGGAGTTTGTCATGGTCACGAGAGGTGGGTGTCTCCTCCCAGGAGGGGCTGTTTGGGAGTTAAAAGAAGACAGGAAGAAGTGGAACGTTCCACCACTTAGGTAGCTGGAGCCCAGATTCCACTTGTCTCTTGCTGGGCTTCTCTGGCTACTAAGATGCCCTCTCTGGGGTTTTACCTGTCATAACTTGCACAGCCATCTGCAGCTATGATGTTGGGACTCTGGGTCATATACTCACATCAGACCAGAATACAATGGTCAGGACTTCTTCAAGAGCATGTTTGAAAAAAACTAGGTCTATGAGGTACAATCTTCAGCTCCAGAAATCTTGTCCAGCCAAGGCCTGATTGGGAGGCCACAGCATATCTGTCCTGTGCCAAGTGTACAACCCTGACGGTTGTCAATGGTGCCGAGACCGAGCCACAGCCTGGCCCTGCCTCTCCCCTTAGGTCCTCTAGAGGTCCAGGAATAAAACTGGACACTTCTCTGACTGATGGAACCTAGGAACAGCTTGTGATCTAGAACATTCCTGCCAGCAGCTGCCTGGACTCTTGGCCAGCTGAATCTCCCACAAGCAAGCTGTGTCCTATTCCCATGGCAGGGAATGGCTGGCTCACACTGGGAGTGGCAGGCTGTGACCTAAGCCAGCTGTCAGGAAATATTTATGGAGCAGGTAATAATCATTTACATACCTGCTATAACCCTGCCTTCTTCACAAAGCCAACCCCAACCTCCTTCTGGAAAAACAGCATGCTGGTGTGTGTTGGCTCCCACTGCGCACTGGCCTGCTTCATACTTTACTCACAGTAACCCATTTTACCTTCCAAGCAACACTGGGGAGTAGAGACTTCTAGAACTCATGCTTTCCAGATGAGGAAAAGTGACAGAGACACGCAGAGGCTTCCCCTAAGTCACACAGCATGTAAATAAAATCATCAGGATTGGGATCTAGAATCTATAGCATATATGCATGTAATAAATATGTACTGGTTGAGTTCATGGGTCTGTGCTGCAGTTTGACCTTGGACTTTCCGAGCCTCTGTGGTCTCCTCTAGAGATTGGGAAATGACGATTCCCAATCACAGGAATGGCAAGTTCTGGCCACGAGCCAGGGAAGCAGAGCATGTATGTCAGACAGCACATGGGACTGGGACAGAGCCAAGGGTCTGTGTGGACGCAGACTGGGACTGACTGGGATAGAGGTAGGGGTCAGAGAAAGGATTCCACATGAAAGCAGTGTTCTTTCTGTTGCCTCAAGGGTGAGCGTGAGGTCAGTGAGGTGGCTCGGTGGGTAAAGGCACCTGCTGCCAGAGCTCAACCAGAGCTTGGTCCCTGGAATCCACATGGTGGAAGGAAGGAGGAAACTGACTCCTGAATGTTGTCTACTTACCTTTGCCTGTGCACTGTGGCATGTACATACCCCTACACACATGCACATGCACACTACATGTACACACACACATACTCATGCACGCATACACGTGCACACACATGCATCCTCATACATAAGCACACACATGCACACTCACAAACACACATACATACACACACTCACACACATATACGCACACTTGCACATGCACACACATATACATACACCATTTAAAAATTAAAAATATAAACTAAAGTAACTTTCTAACGAAGGAAAAGATAAGATTGGAACATGAAGGTAGCCAAGGGTCAGGACAGATGTGAACAGGGAGTCAAAATAAGATTTAAATGAGAAGTGATAGAGAGGCCAACACAGGCAAGGGGAAACAGCTGCAGACGAAGCCACAGGAGTCTCAAAGGGTAAGTCAAAAGAAGAGGCTTTCTTCTGTGGGCCCCAGAGAGCTGTGAGCAGTCTGCAAATGCTCAGGAAAAATGTCAGAGGTAGGTTCTAGAACAATGCCCTCAGAGGGCTAGTCAGGGCCAAGAATGAGGGGGAGGTGGCCAAGGAATAAGGTAACAGCCTGCCCCTGGGGAGTGCTGAGACCTCCTGCGCAGGAGGCCATGGGACAGCCCTACCACTTGATACCCAGCATGGCACACCAGAGCACAGTGTCATACTCCAGAGCTGGGCTGTCACAGGAAGCTGCCTTCTCTGGGACAGCAGCCCTCCATTCAGATGGGTTCTGTCCCCTCAGAAGCCTCAAATTCACAGCCAGTGGCCAGGCCTGACAGCTCCAGGACCATGCTGGAAAGAGATGTAAAAGTCCTGGCGGGGGATGCTGAAGGTCATAGGAGAGGGTACTCACTGCTGTCACTGGGACCCTGGTCAGTCTAGAGATTGACAGAATGGCAAATACCAGCCAAGGTGACACCCCTTCTCTTAGCTCTGAAGTCACAGTAATCGATATCTGGTTTGGGCTCTTATCTAAGGAGACCCTGCCCTATCCATCAGCCAGTTCCACCTCTCTCTACTCTGGACAAGCAGAGGCCGGAGTCAAAGGGCCATACGGGCCCAGAGTATTTCCCATCAGCCTGCAAGTGGCTGAGATGCACCAGTGGGGAGGATAGGTTGCAGTCCGTGAAGAACAGAGATGCTGTGAGGCAAATGCAGCCCTGAGAGGAACCCTGTTAGGAAGTTTGGATTTGGGAAACAAATATCTCCCTCTTTTTCTATCTTTTCAGTAAATACTTAATGTATTTTTTCCAAGTTTTAATTTCTTTTTACATTTTTTTGGAAGAAAGGGCACACAAGTGTGTGTGCAATTCACATGTGTACGTGTGTCTGTCTGTGTGTGTTGGAAGAGAACTTGAGAGTCAGTTCTCTTCTTCCACCCTGTGGATCTTGGGTTCAAACTCTAGTGTCATCCAGCTTTGTAGCAAGCACCTTGGTCTGCTAAGCCATGTCGCTAACCCATTTTCCAAGACTTTTTGAAGTAAAATTCTGGTCTGTTAGCTGGAAGAGAAGCTAGAAATGAGGATGATTCCGGTTTCCCTGAGGCACATGTGTAAGGGGAAGTTAGTTGGGGAACAGGCAGGGGGCTACCTCGGGACTATAGATGGCCCAGGTACAGGCCAGGCCAGGGAGGCTGCTGACCAAACCATGGCTCTTTTCAAACATGCCTCATACACGAGCCCAGGGAGCTCATCCTATACACAAACACACACCCAGACACACCCAATAGCCACCACCTCCAATAGAGTCCAGGGTCAGTTCAGATAAGCCTTTGCCTCAGGGCAATAAGCTTCTGGACTGTGGCCATCCAGTCATTAAGTGTTGATAAATAACCATCTCTGTGGGGACTCTGGGGAGTTGCACAGACAGAGGTGGCCCCTGCCTTGAGAGCCGCTAGACACAAAGATAGACACAGGCTCCATTTCCTGAAGCTACCTGAAGGCCCGTGAGTTCCTCGGTAGCCTTACACAGCACATTCTAGAATTGCTACTCTCATGAGTGAGGTAACTGGGTGTGGTGGCCTCTACCTCGGGAGGATGAGGCAGGAGATCACTTAGTCTAGGAAACTGGGCTAGCTGGGCAAGATAGTGAGATCTTATCTCTTAAAAAAGGAAGAGGAAGAAGAGGTGGAAAGAGATAGAAGAGGAAAGGAGGGCAGGATATACTGGTGCCTGCCTTAAATCCCAGCACTTGGGAGGCAAAGGCAGTTGGATCTCTGAGAGGTTCCAGGCCAATCTGGTCTACAGAGTGAGTTTCAGGACAGCCAGGACTACATGGTAAGACCCTGTCTTCAAAAAAAAAAAAAAAAAAAAAGGAAGAAAGAAGGAAAAGGAGGAGGAGGAGGAGGAGGGGGAGGAGGAGGAGGAGGAGGAGGCCGGGAAGGGGTGAGTAAGGAGACGCCATTGCTTCATTCATTTTGTTGTTTGTTTTTGTTTTGAGTCAGGGTCTTATATAGCCCAGGCTAGCCTCAAATTCAATATGTTTCCAATGAAGACCTAGGCTCTTAAGTCTCCTAGCTCCTGCTCTCCTGACACTGACAGGGAAAACAGCCACACTGAGATGGAACCCCAGGGAAAGAAGCCCAAGATAACTTCCAGGAGGAGGTGACTTGAAGAAACAGACAGCAGTTGCATAAAGGAATAGGGTGGAGAAGAGGGTCCTAAGACAGAAAGTACACCACAGAGGAGGGCTCCCTTCTTCATGGATGGAAGCTGTGCTTGACCTCTCTCCGGGCATCCAAAACTGGGAAGGGGCTGGGAAAGGCTGGTAGGGTCTATAGGAATGAGTCATGGTCATGACATCTTGAGTGTCATATCCAGCCATGGGATAGTGAAGTAGGCAGGAGACACTGGCAACAACTGTCACACAGATGCACACATGGAAGAGAGAAAGAAAGAGAGAGAGAGAGAGAGAGAGAGAGAGAGAG